TATTGGGAACTGTATACATAATACCAGAAATTGAAACCTATTAGACTTCTGCTCGACGACGAACTGCGACCCCAATTTGATGCTTCGGGTATCCAGTTTCAACATATGGTGGCCAAAGATTAGTTATCGGACAGCTTTTGGGGTCATCTTAAAAGCCCTTCCACTACTGGGCTCAGCTTTGGCCGAATACAAAGGAACATCTCGAAAATCTAAGATGCTTCTTAAGTCATTGATACGGTCAATGGTAACTCAAAGTCTATCCACCGCCATTCATCGAGAAGGGCTGATGATCCTGCGTGTGTACGTGAGTGCGTGCGTGTTTGTACATCAACTGATCAGCGTTTGCTATTGATTCTCTTCCAAATGGGAACTGCTCTTACATTCATGTGACACACATTTCAGACAGCTTTCAGTTGCTTACATGTACTGATTACAGTGTACCGCTTTTACGCTTGATACCAATGCCCCCAGAACCGTACAGTTGTTCTGATTTCTCATGGTTACAGCAGATTGGCGAACGTTATTCGGATTACTTATGGCGAATTCCATCACGGTACCTCTGCCTTTTTAGAATACTTGTATTAAAAAACCTCATACTTAGCAGTGGACACTGGAAAAATACCTTCATTAATTACGTTGATCTATTTTAGCCTCTTGGCGCAATAATACAGTTGGTATTGCAGCGACCAACAGATTTTCGGGCCACCGTTTAGATAACGAGGATCAGCGAAATAAAGCCAATATGCAAGTAAGTACAACAATCGACCTAAAATCTGTGTTCTCTTCCCTAAACAAACTTTGGGAGGAAAGCCGCATGTATTCTGTTGCGGAGCATACATAGCTTCACAAGACCTGTGCAGATTTGCCTGGTTTACCTGCGACATATAATCAACAGGCGCGAATTAGACTGCGCTAGTAGCAACCAAGCCGTCCCCAAGACGTTGCTGCCAAATCGCATTGAGCTTCCCTCATGACACTAAGGTATCTATATTGTCAAACCGAATTGGACCACGTGAGCTAATAAGTTGTTGCGGCAGTTACCGCACAAACCGAAACTGACACTACCCGAGTTTTCCTCAGAACATTACCACTGTGAGAGAACTCGTGTGCCTTGCCAACATCTACTTTTCCCTACAGTTTATGCATTATACCGTTACTAGATCGAGCTATACATTTGAAGATGTAGAAGACATGTTGTGCTTTGGCCAAGGCAGTAAAAGAGTTCTTGTTAACGGCCAATGTTTCTTTCTCGTTCGGGTCTCAGCGCAGTCGTGCTAGGATATGCGTTTTCGTCTACAGTCCGAACTCTCCTGTACGTTTGACGACAAAGTCACGTTAGCCTGTAACATTCCGAATTGGTTTGGCTGCTCTGCGTGCGTGGAGTACTACTGTTGATGAGTGTTCCTCCGTTCCGACTAAAAGTCGAAGAAACTAGGACACGTTATAACATGAGTACGTGTTACAAATTCAACACTTTACAACAACAAACGAGTGAGAGAGTAAGTTTAACTCTGGTCTTCTTACCTTCTGTTGTGTTTGTGCTCAGGTTCCACCGACCCAGTAGGAAGGAGCAATGCTAGTATGGGCATCATTTGCGGGTGTTTCCACGAGAAATTACGAGACCGGCTGTTTTCCGATGTAGAAACGCTTATGATGTGAGAACTGATGTTGAGTAGAACACTTCGCACTAGACTACACTTAGTATTTCCTAATGGTGGGACGCATATAGTAGGGAACCAAAACAAGGCAGATACGTTAGAGAGGGATTACGTAGTTTTCCAACCGGGAAAGCCTGTGTATACATGATTTCCCACGAACAGTCACAACAACCCGTAACCGTGGTCACAACTGATGTTATCCTGTTTGGCCTGGAGTTAAATGGTCGCGTCTTGAGGCGGCACTCAGATCAAATATCTTTGCGTTGTGTGGAATCAGCAGGAGTGGAGGAAAATATACCAGACTCCATCTAGAGGACAGTAGAACAAAACCCTCACGATACGGTGCAAATACCAAACTGTCCACCACCTCGCAAATCTCATCATGCACGTAAACTTGTTGAATGCTTCGTTCCCGGCGTACCACCCACAAGAGAGGAGGGGATGTTACGTGCCACACTTGCATTGATTCTCACAACTCACCTACAGCAAGTTCTTATTGTGGTTAGCCTTGTATTTACCAATCACCAACTCTTCGTGTCATGTTTTAAATAGTGTGTCATGTAATGCATGTGCGAGAAGTGGTCCGGTAAACTGCTTCGTACTGTTGTCCTGCCTAAATATGGTCCGGAGGCGTGTTTTTCTTATTTCCGTTAGTACGTAATATCGGAGACTGGTGAAAATGAACCCCATCATTAATACACCTGCTACATTTTGGTCGTCCGCTGTGGACAAACTATGCGCTGTACGCGCATAGTTCCGGCAGAGTGAAGGGTTGTGGCGAACTGTCGCTACCCTTCAGTATTACCATCAGTGTGTGACTAGGTTGCCCGCTGTTACCCTTCCTAGTTAACTTCGTAGTTGATGAAGTCATGGAAACAGCATTCGCTGGACACGACCTAGAAGGTGTGGAGCTACTTCCTAGTAAGCGGCTCCTTGACTTGGAGCATACGGACCATATTGCCCTCATATATGATAGCGCCCAAACATGAAAAGCAACACTGGGCCGATCAGCACTGCCTGTCAATCGTTTTGGCCTATGCTTCGCTTCATCGAAATGCAAAGTTCTTCTCAAAGTTTGGCAAGGACCCCCCACTTCGCTGACCCTTGTTCTTGATCAGCTAGAAGTCGTTCAGCGATTCAAGTACTTGAGCAGTTATATTAGCGCCCGTAGGATCGAAGCTGTGATTACGGACCGTTTAGCAAAAGCTCGAAGTGCTTTTGCTAATCACCGCCACCTGTGGTACAGACGCGACATTACTCTTGCCCTAAAGGGCAGAGTTTATACTGTAGCCGTCCGTTCAACTCTCCCATTTGGTTGTGAAACCTGACCCATCAGGTAGACTGATATAAAAAGACTTGTCACATTCGATCATCGCTACCTTCACAGCTTAGCACATGTCTGGTGGGAGCACTGCATGAGCAATAAGCGTGTTCGGCTTCGTGTATTTGGTGCAGGATGAGCGAGTGTACCGCTTAACACGGCTATTTCAGACACCAGGCTCCGATGGCTCGGCCACTTGTTAAGCATGCCGGTACACCGACTCCCGCGACTTGCAGTGTTTGCTCGCCAGGGGTGCGGTTGGGGGAGGAGGAGGGGAGGCCAAGCAATGACTTAGTCGAGAGGAATGAAAACCCTCATTTGGAGACGGGCGTCGGTTGGTACATCCCGACTGCCTGGCTGGGGTCCTAAGGAGGATGAACAAGTTTGCTTGGACACATTTGCTGATATGGTGAAAAGCCGGCCCTAATAGCGTGTGTGTTGTGAGTCTCTTTGTTCGTCCCCTTCCCTTTAGGTTCCCCCTCCAACCCAATCTCATGCAAAACGCAGAATATGATATTTAACATCATATTGTTGTAGTGTACTTTGTGTAATTTATAGTATAATTTTTAGTCTCCTATCTTTTTGTACTGTAGCGCAGTAGCTGAGGTGTGTTTCTCACCCTCAGCTAACGTGTACTGATGAGGATGATGACTTGGTACTACTGCCTGTTTTAAGCATGTTGTTTCACTTTCGGAGTCCTGCAAAACACGACTATTCAGACAATTGCCGGCGCATGAACACCAGCGATGTTACAATGCAGTACATTTAGAAAAGTGACACTATTACATCCGCCTTGGCTACATTTACCGCACTGTGGGGATTGAAACAGAATGTTTATGCTGCGAGATACCGCTTTTCAAAGCGTGTACAGAAACCGAACGAGAGCCTAAAGGACATCATCACACACATCTACCAGTCTAGTTGCGAGTGTAAGTACCATGAAATTCCACGTTCGAAGCATAATGAAAAAGAAATGAATTTGGTTTTTCTCGTGTGCCGGTCAAATGCTTGTTTGTGAATCCGTGCTACTGGATCACACTGTGGTTTGTTAAAGGGGGTAGTGTGGCCGGGTTTATTGATTACTCAGCTTAAGATGTACAAGGGCAGTAAGTATAGCTGCGAGACTGAGATGGGCTAGCTGTGTAGTAACCTAATTAATCTTGTAATTGCTCCACACGGTGAGGAATTGGAACCAGTGGGAGCTTGTTCAAAGGACGCTGCGATTCTCTATCGAGTAAGGCTAGAAACGTAAGTTTGGCGGTAAGAATGGCAAACTATTGTGTAGGTAGGTTTCAGTGAAACAATTCCCGGAAATTACGAGTCTGGAAAGGTGTAAAATTAATTGTTATTGTTCCCGACAGAATTGTTTTAGGTTATGATCTTCACTAAATCACGAAGAAAGAGTGCAAATCCGGTGACGTGCTGCAAACTGCAGCGGAGGACGTCTGAGAGAATGAGAAGTGCAAAAATATGCGAATGCCAGTGAAGGCATCGAAAGGAAAGTACGTTAACTATAGAATAGTTAAAAGTGGTTCACGATACATAAAATCTACTTGTAGGCCGTTATCGGTGATGGTGTGGTGGGGTTTGTTGCTTTGTTCCTGCCTTTCCCCAAAGCCGTATACCTTCCATCTTCCTACATAGAGTTCCATTTAATTTTTTGAGTTATGTCCTACTATATATTCGCGTGGTACGCATCACATTGGTTGACACAAAGCCACAAAGATAAAGTAGGATTTCTTAAAATTTGATTAAAGGCAGTTACTTGACATTTTCAAGCACATTATCAGGTTACACTTAGTTGGCCGATTACGATTGATGACTTTTCGGAGTGCTCGAGCCAGGTATTCCGGACTTAACTTCACCCACCATCATTTGAATTTTTATGGTCCCTCCCACCAAATAGGAGCGTTTTTGGCTATCACACCAAATCACTGAAAACCAGCAGTATGTATTCGTTAAAGTGTACTTTTATATTTTGGAATCATGGCTACTATAACAAGCACAGTCTCTTTTCTTACCTTTTGCAATTCAAGAAAGCAAGGTGCTGAGTCCATATCATTTCTTTTGTCTAACCGCGGCGTAAAAGCTGTGGCCTTAAAAATGAATCATGAAGAGAAAACAGGAGGTTAGAAATTTGCATTTCATTACGACGAAGATACACTGTCTTCGCTAAACGAGCTATGTTTTTGTGTCTCCGCGTTGACCACCCTGGTGTTTATACTAAACTCGGAGTACAGAGACTGAGATAGATGCTTTTGACGGCCAAGGTAGTTCATTTACATGGCCCCATTATAAGCTTATTAATGAGCCAATCATCACTACTCTGCTTAGTAAGATGCAGTGTTACTACCCGACAAACAAAGCAGTGCCTTGTGGCTTACCAATGACCGTAGAAATACCTTTTCCCGTGAACCATACTCCACAATGAAACTTGTCGCTTCATATGCAAGCGAGGCTGTAACCGAGATCGACCATTTTACTCAAATCTTCAGTATCTGAAGGTTCTGGGCACAAACAAGCAAACTGTGATGTTGGCTATAGCAATGAAGACTGGTAGCTCAGGTGGTGCAGGTGGCTGTTGAACTGTTCGCTGAGCTTGGCAATTTTGTTGCAAACGTTTCGTCACCAATCGAGGTGACTTCATCAGTACGCACTGATGAAGTCACCTCGATTGGTGACGAAACGTTTGCAACAAAATTGCCAAGCTCAGCGAACAGTTCAACAGCCAAACTGTGATGTCTGAAGCATCGCTTTAGCGCCCTGTGTTCTCATGGAATCTCTGCGCGTCATCTTCCCACAACACCATAAACATACACACATTTGGATCACATTTACTTGCTCTATCTGCTGAGCACTTCCTCACTAACTTAATTCCTACGGATCAGGATTCCAGCATCCTTATATGCTCTAACAGCTCACTTGATCAATTACGCGCAAACCATCTTGCCGGTTCTAGGTCACTTGTCTAACTCTATTACTGTATTCCATGGGGCAGGCTTCGAGCTGACCACTAAACTCCGATTTGCTTATAAAACGGTATTCTGCCAGGACTGTTTGAATTTTCTAAGTCATTGTTTGTACATCATTTGCATCCAGCCTTCTTACATTCAGCATCAATTTTCAAACTTGCGTCGACGCAAGCCTACACAGCTTGATCAACTGACCAACCTAGCTCGCGTGCATCTCCCTTGGCGCCTATGTGCACATACAAACAAACAGCGCAAAGCCGACACTAAGCACTGTAGCAGTGTAGACTCCGGATGTTGCAGTGAGTTTCACAATAGGCAGGTGATCGGCAACTTAAATGCCAATGGACGTATTTGCTCTTCAAATAAATTTGGCGGAGCGCCAACAATGGAGACAAGGTGCACAAATTGCATTAAATCATTCCACCCTAATGTATATTGATGCTGTCCAATATATGACACTGTACAACAACGTGACCGACTCTCTTTTGTGTTGCCCAACGTACAGACTCATTCCAATTGTCACCAGTTCGCGTGCTTATGCAGAACTGCGTACAGCTAACTGTGGCTATCGAGCATTTTGTGAATAAAAGGATTGTATCATTGGAAACAAAAATGAGCACGCTGCTACCTCAACAACACAATTCAAGCTCAGGCACTAGGTAGAAGATAAGGATCGTACCCTCTGACTTCATTCCAACGTCTTGATCTCTAGCTCCGCTGGCACAGTTCACTTCCTTAAATGGACAGGCATCAACGTGTCTGCCTGGTCTCCTTTATTGGTATGGAGCATATTAAGTTGGCGGTGATAATAGCAATCCATACCCGAAGCCAACTTACTAACGAAAAGGCCAGGGAGCGTATGCATCTTTCATATACATGCAAGCTCCGGAGAGAATACGTGCCATCCAGTTAGCAACAGCAAGAAAATTGGGATGTTGCTGCTCCCGCAGTCCACCAGGCCGTTAAAAACGGTAACAATCAACCCCACTAAACCGGCAGTCACTAGGAGGAACCATGGGGCCTCAAATTGCATGCGCAGCAAACTTCAGGAGTCACATATCGTTAATATAAAGAGGAATTAGTTGGATTACTGTACTCCATGTATGGTGCGATTGGTATCCCTGCTGAACCCATGGTGTTAAAAAAGGTGACAAATCACCTAAATTCAACACATTAAGGCGAATTTCGACTTCCTCAGATGACACTGAGACTCGCTAATGACACAGAGGCCATGCCGTTGCCGCTTATTAGACTGCGCCACTCATTACATGGAGCTGTAGCGCACTGAAAGATAAATAGCTTTAAAGTACAAGTTCATTATTGATCAACTGTACATTACCGTACTCTGTTTTAAGCACCGGTACACTACGACCCTCTTGGTCTACATCCGATTTGTCACTTTTGAGTTTGGTGATTCACGACACTGACGTTTGATCCTGGTCGCTTCATCGGTCTATCTCGTTTTTAGCCCATTGAATATAGTACGCTGTCTTCCTTAAACCGCTTTCTGATATCCGCGCTCGATTATTCGCATCGTCTCGTACTGGTATTTAGTAGTCCTACAGGCTACACATATTTCCGGACCTCTTCTTAGAGAAAATTGCACTAATAGCAGTAAACCAATAGAAACTCCCAAATTTAACAGCAAACTGCTGACCGTTGTGTCACCTACGCACTTAAGTCTCGATTCGTGAACACAGGCCCTCTCATGATTGGTTGAGAATGACCTTGACTAACTTTCCTTATTTCATTGGTTTTCCTTTTCGGCTTTTTAGCCACTGTAACGCAGGATGCTGTTAGTAAATCGGTTCCATATTACGCGTGCGAGTTCCGTTCTTTTCATCGGCCAAAGGCCATACTTAACATTCTGGCGACGGGGTTAAACTACTGCGATGCACCTTCCTACACTACTTTGGAATATTCCTTCTAATAAACCAACACTGGCCACCTGGAACCGCTAGAATTGAACTATTTTTGATTATTTAGAGCTACTACGCGTCTTGCAACCAAACACGGTACTCTCAGAAAGGCACAAAATAAAATAATGAGACAATTTCTGGGGGATGAAGGTCAAAGACATATTGGTGTCCTCCATGTTGGTGAGAAGGAGACAGTCAAAGCGCGCTAGAAGTCCCCAGTGGGTTATGGAGTTATGGACTGAACCCATACACTGCGCCCTATTCTTTGTCGACATTGCGTCAAAACCCTGAAGAAAATGTCATTGATTTAATTGCGTGCATTCAGCAAGCCCTACCAAAGTGTCGGTATAATGAAATCCCAGTTACCAAGTTCGATGAGGCGACGGGTTTACAGTGCTTGACATCCGGTATCCGTAACCAACGGGCTCGTGAAAGGTTGTCTTCGGAAGCTGAGACGATGATAAGCTCGGAGAAGGCCTGCAATATTTATAGACAGCTGGAGAATGTCCATAAACAGTTAACAGCTTTTTCCTCACAACCACATACAGACGCAATCCAAGCAGTCAACCGAAAAGAGACGGTCCGAATTGCATTTTACCTGTTACCGATGTAGAAGACAACATTTATCAGCCGAGGAATATCGTCATAGACGGAGTATCTGCCGCCAATGCGGAAAATTAGGGCACCTGGCCCCAGTTTGCCGATCTAAATCTTACACAGCAACGACATTCCGTTTTCCCAAGAAGCCTATGAAGATCGTCCAGTCTTCAGACGTAGAAGACCAGCTAAACACGATCCGGAACGCAACGTCGAGCATCTGCAGCATTCATCCACCCTATATGGTGTAATTGCAAGTAGGTCAGTTGGTGAAAATGGAAGTTGATGCCGGTGCCTCATTTACCATACTCAGTGCTGCATCCGTTAAAAGATTACCCAAGTTATCCCTCTGTGAAGCAATTTTGCGTACGTACATTGAGCAGACGATACCAGTCCTGGGAAAATACGCTGTTCATGTAGATTACCATGGGGAATAGCGAACCTTACGGGCAAATATTGTGACGAACGTACTCGGGCGCGACTAGATTAAATGCCTTCCAGCCAAGCTAGAGACAGTGAAGTTCATGTCCATTAACCAACGCTTGGAGGATGTTCTTAACAAACATTCGGACGTTTTTGATGAGAAACTAGGACAATAGCGCGGATATCAGGCTAGTATCAAATTACGGCAGGGAACTCAGCCCCGCTTTTTAAGGACACGTACCCTACCTTATTCTCTGCGATCAAAGGTGGAAGACGAGATAAAGAGTTTGCAATCAGCAGGAACAAGCTAACCAGTACAATACAGTGAGTGGAGAGCTCCAATATTTCCAGTCCTAAAGGCGCATGGTTCTGTGCGTGTTTGTGGTGACTATAAACTAACTGACTATCGTTTTTTAAATATGGATATGTATCCCTTACTTCGGATAGGGAATCTGTATGCAACGCTGGTGGGCGGAGAGAAGTTTACACAGATGGACGTCAGTTACGCATACTAACAAATTGAGTTTGACGAGAACTCTCGCTCATACACTACAATAAGTACACAGATGGGTCAAGTATAGTAGGAACATCTGCCCTTCGGAATCAGTTCATCCCCAGCGATATTCCAAAGGATCATTGATAACCTGAACAAAACTATTCCTTTAACTTGTGCGTATCTTGACGTGCGGATGCTGAACGTTTACAAACGCTATCCACTGTGCTCAAACGTCTACTACTGAGTGGACTCAAACTGAAGAAGTCCAAGAGTACGTGTTTCTCAGCTTCCGTTCGTTACTCCGGTTACTGCCTCGATAAAAACGGATTACACGTGTTAGAAGACAAATTAACGCCCATCCTTTTCGCACCTGAACCCAAGAATCAAGCTGAACTCCAATCGTTTTTAAGGATGTTTTCTCACCGTCATCGCTTCTTAGCTAATGCTTTAACTATATTTGCATCCTTGAACGAACTGTTGCACAAAGGAAATTCCTGGATTTAGTGTTTGGATTTAGGAAAGTCCTGCACAGGTACCAAAAGAGTGCTCAGCGCCTCCTCGTAGCTAGTGCACTACAATCCAAATCCGGCCTCTAGTGCTGCAGTGTGATGCTTCCCCACGCGGAGTAGGCGCAGTGCTTTGCCAACGGACGGATGACGGTTCTCTTCGTCCAATCGCTTTTGCTTCTC